AGTTAAGTCCAAGGTACATTGGACCATTCCTTATTATTGAAAGGATTGGGGAAGTGGCCTACAAATTAGAACTTCCTTTGGAATTAAGTGGAATTCATGACACGTTTCATGTATCAAATTTGAGGAAGTGTCTAATAAGTCCAGATGTGGCAGTACCATTACCTGAGATTAAGGTAAATGAAAAATTATGCTTTGAAGAAACCCCTGTTCATATTACTGATTACAAAGTAAAGAAGTTACGAAACAAAGAGATTGGGTTAGTAAAGGTTCAATGGCGTTATCATAAGGGACCAGATGCCACCTGGGAATCAGAATTGGAAATGCGGATGAAATATCCTTATCTGTTTACTTAATGGAATTTCGGGACGGAATTCTTTTAAGGAGGGAATGTTGTAATATTCGGGTTTCAAGTTTTGATTTAAGATTTTCTTTAAGATATATATATATATATATATATGTGTGTGTGTGTGTGTATGTGTATGTGTGTGTGTGTTATGTTTATGTGAATATCTTGAGATTTAATTTTAAAAAGAAAAGGGGGGGGAGGTCGGCTGGTTGTGGCGCCCACCACCTTTCCTCAATACTATACATATAGAAAGTTGAGTAGATGAAAGGTTTTACACACACTCTGTATTTAGAAAGTTTTCTTTGTGAATCATACGGATTGCAAGAAGAGGATTCAAAAGCTTGGATATTCGATTTTTAATGGTGAGTGTATTAAAGCTTTGAGTATAAAGTTGTTTGCATACAATTCAGTAGTTATTAGAACTGGTTATTTATGGTTTATAGTTCACATTGTGTGGATATTTCCTTAAACCGCCCATGTGATGACCGGATTGATATCCGGACAGTTTCATCCGGATTATAAACCGCTCAAGTGTTGTCCAGAGTCCTCCCTAAATCGGTCAAGAGGTGACCGAATCTTGTCTAAACCGGTCAAGAGTTGGGTGGTGTATTGACCGGATTGTTTTAAACCGGTCAAAGGTTGGGCAATGTATTGTCTGGACTCTTATTCGGATAGAAATTGGAATATTTCTAAGTGTTAAATCGGTTAAGCTTTGGGCGGTGTATTGTCCGGACAAATATGTTAGAAATAATTTTAAGTGTTAACCGGACAAAGCTTATACAAGGTGTTATCCGGATTGTTGACCGGAGATGATATAACCCTTTTGATATTCCAAGTGTTTGTCCGGATTCNTCCAAGTGTTTGTCCGGATTCTATATCCGGACAAGGCTGACCGGACTTCAAATCCGGTTAATATGTTGAATCATTTTAGAGATATAATGGCGAGAGAGATGTAATGGCGGTGTAACCGCGGGAGAGATGTAATGGCGGTGTAACCGCGGGAGAGATGTAATGGCGGTGTAACAGCAAGAGAGATGTAATGGCGGTGTAACCGCGAGAGACATTGATAAGTTTATGTGTCAGAACAGGTGTGATTCTGAACTGATTGTTTGGAAAGTATATTGTTTATTTGAGAATTATACACTCACTAGACCTTTTTGGTCTAACGCTCAGTTGTTGGACTAACCTGTTTTGCAGGTCATCATACCTCGCAAGATAAAGGCAAGGGAAAAGTTTAGAATGAATAACGTTTAGTTATTCAAAATGTATTCCAAGAAAGTATTTTGTTAATCTGTATTTTGTAAACGATGTTATATTTTGTGTTATGAGTATGATGATGTGGATTATCGGTACATAGAATATGTGGATTGTTACATTCTTATTTGCTTGAAGGGACATTGACAGCTGTGTCCATTCATCGCCGAGACTTTCAAGGAATAAAACATTGTTTTCTTACTTTGTTCTGGAGATATCGTTTCGGCGACATTGATTAATCAATGTATTCATTGAGACATTGATCTCTACGATTCTTCTTCGTTTTTGCTCCTCCTTCCAATTGGCTTGCCAGCTCATCCCATAGTTCCTTGGCTGTGGAACATGCGTCAAGGGATTGGAAGATTTCATTGGATATGGCCATAATTATTAATCTTTTGGCCTTTTTGTCGGTTTCAACCCGCTCTATGTCGTCTTCATCCCAATTTTTTTCGTCCTTGGGCATGTAGTAGGAGGGAATTTCTGCTGTTGTATTTGTTCATGGAACTCTTGGAACAAGAGTCTGTGGAACATAGGGACCTTCCATGACAGATCGCGGAAGATTTATGTCCATCCCTTCCAATAAATTCACCATTCGTATCCTCCATTGTGGGTACTCTTCTCTTTGAAGAGTTGGAGATTTGGTGAGGGAACCAACACTGTAGGCTGAGTTCCAGTTAGCCATTGGAGATTTTAGAAGAGAGAAAATTTACGTTTTTGGTGAAGATATTTTATGAAAAACGTGAATTGAGAGATTTTTGGATGATTGTTTGATTGAGAAAACAATCAATTGACTCTGATACCAATTGTTGATCCCAGATCTCTCAATAACACTAATAATCGAGTTAAAAATAACCAAATTATAGTGTTTTAATGAATTGAGATATTTTATGAATAATGTATGAACATTCAAAGAACAATCTTGAGTGCCAATAAATTCACTTTATTCAATATGAAAACGTAATTATTACTTTGATTACAATAGGCCTAATCACCTATTTATACTAGAAGACTAATTAGAAGATAACTATCTAGTGAGACTATTTAGCTAATCTTCTACTAATAGATAAAGTTTATCTAAACTATGGATAAACTATAAATTAAGATAAACTTGAAGTCCAACTGTCAATTAGTCATCTCCAGCTGTCTTCCATGGGATGATGTTTTCAACCTTATCTTCATATCCTCATCGTATGCCTCTGGTTGAATTGCTGAAGAAAACTCTAAGTATTGGTGACCAGAGGACTGATGAAAATGCTCTTTCCATCGCATCTCTGGTTGTTCATCGATCTTCTGGTTGTTCTTCAGACAGTCAATTCTGCCTTATTGTCTTCATCACTTATCGTTCTTCATTACTTTTACACTTATTAATTATGGGGTCTAACACCCTCTCCCATCTATGGATGAGATTGTTTCATTCTTGAAGTTCTTGGGATACAACAAATCCATCCAGTATCCTTCTCAATACCATCGACAGTACCTACCCCAATGTGGAACACCCTGTTCACATTGGTGAATCGGTCGTTGACTGGGAAGATTGGCAGCTTGGACATGTGCTCCACCAACATCCTATAGATCATTTATGGCATCTTTTTTGACTTATCATTCGACTACTCCTTCCTCCTCTACATAGAGTTCAAGGCATCTGTCATGAAGAAGTGCCAAGAGGTGGCTAAAGGGAAGGAATTGCCATCGCTCTTGTTTCCTCGCTTTCTGTGTCTTCTTCTAAGACCTGTTATTGACGACAACAACATTGACGTGGGATGTTTGCCTGAGCAGAAGGTGAATGTGCTCACTCAGTACAAACCTACGGTCAACAAAGAAGGCTATGTTACAGAACGGCCAATTCCGAAGAGGCTCTTATGTTACATGAAGACGATGGATGTGAGGAGACAATACATATGTGTACGCGAGGCACAAGAACCTGTGCCGTGAACCCCGGCATGCATAGGTACCAACCAAGAGGATGAGGGAAGGGAGGACACTCAAAGGCCTCAGGCAGAAGAGGAGGGGGTGAGATCGGAAAAAGAAAGAGAGAAGAAGAGAAAGAGACTAGAGGCAAAGAAAAAGAGAATAGAGAGAGAGAAAGGCTCGTTTGAAAGCAGAGGAGGAGAGAGTTGAACGAGCCAGACTTGAAGAAATGGCTCGTTTGAAAGCAGAGGAGGAGAGAGTTGAACGAGCCAGACTTGAAGAAATGGCTCGTTTGAAAGCAGAGGAGGAGAGAGTTGAGAGAGCAAGGCAAGCAGAGATTGTTCATCTCAAGGAAGAAGAGAGAATCAGAGCAGAGGAAGAAGCCAATCAAGGCTTGGAGCACTTCTCTAGCTCTGACGAAGAAGAAAACCAGGAACATTTTGATGATGTTACTGGGTCCAATACATCAAGTGACGAGAGTGAGGAGGGTGAAGACGCAGAAGAAGAAGCAGAAGAGGGAGAAGGTGCAACAGTTGCTCTGCCTAAGGGTAAGCCAGAGCAGCCAGGGGTAAATAAGCACATCCGTTTCGACAGCCCAACTCCCAGTGCAAATGAATCATCTGACGCCGGTGGTCGAGACACCGAAGTCATTGAAACAGAGGTGCACACCTCGAACCCAAACCAGCAAAACGAACCAGAGGTCGCATCTGCCTTTGGTTATCACAGCCAAAGGGAAGCCACACCACAGGGAACACCCTCTCAAAAGGGTGCACCCTTTGAAGGTATAAGTGATATGTATCCCCATATCACGACACTTTCCCATACAGAGGAATTCATTTCCTCTGCACGTGTAGACTCGCCACCTTGTTCAGAGCAAGGAATAGGTGCACATGACTTGGAGACTCTCGACCAGTCTCTAAGTCCACTCATGGAGAGTCCTCTGGCCGGCACTGAACCCGCCTTGGATACTCTCCCTGACAGAACAGCGGTAGTGAATTCTTGTCAAAGAGAACCATAAGGATCTGCTGGAAGTCCTTCCCCGACCAACATCAACCAAGTCGTGAATGAAGGCGTCCCTAGAACGGGGACTCAATCTGGCCCATGTGTTGACCCAGAGGTTACACTACCAGCATATGTCACAAAGGAAGAGTTCCATTCTCTTCTCACTCTGTGCGGTGCTCCTTGGAAGAGCTAAAACTCATCATGGCTCGTGCCGAGTCGTCCCCTTCTGCACCTGCTCTGGATGAGATACGAGCGTCCTTGGCAGTATTGAGAGCTGAGTCTTCAACAAACGCTTCTCGTCTCGATACTTTGACGGATTTGACGGCATGAAATGCAGAGGCCTTGCGAGAGGTCATAGCTTCCATGTAGAGGGGTGAGGCGTCCACTTCTCATGACGCCCAGGTGATCATCCCTCTGAACGTACCTGTGGACTATGTCACTCAGAGCGCAATGAATGCTCTGGGTGACAGACTTCTACAGAAGATGGCGTACTTCACATCCGATTTCAACAACAAAGCCACAGAAGCACCAGCGACCATCACACTCTCTCTATCCAAGTTCAACTATCGATCGGACGTCGAGATTCGACGGATTGGCGATGCATTCAAAGATCTCCTCAAAGTCTTTCAGGAGAAAATCAAGTCTATGCCTCAAGTAGAGGAGTCGAGGCCAAAAAGACGAAAGGATTCTTCTCCATGTACTGAGCCATCGAAGAGGAGAAGACTTGACGATGATGAGGACCCAGACCAGTCTGGTCCTCAAAATCGTGAAGAGAGGGAGAACTATCCAACAGCCATTCCAATTGTACACCTACGGCTGCCCCCTCTGCACTAACGTCCTCTGCCCCTCGCTAACCAGCACAAGATCCTTCAAGGTAGAGGGCACAGAGTCAACCAACGCCAGAATAAGCAGAGGCGCTCAGAAAGGGAAAGATGCCCATGGCATCTCAGGCAGAGACAGCTGCCACAAAAGAATACAGAAGTGATAGATATTCTAAATGTCTATGCATCATTTGATTTAGACCTTGCTCTGTCTTCATCAATGGAGTACGCCATGGACACAGGTTCTCAAATAAGAGGACAAGAAGAGGTGGTAACAGTGAATATGGCTGATCCATCACTTTTGCGCATTCCTATTGCTGTCCCTCTAGAAGGCATCACGATTGCTGCTCCTCCACCACAAAAGAATACACACAAAGCTAGGGTCCCTGCACAAGGGACCAGAGTAGTCCCACTTGCAATGAGACAGAGGGTCCCTGTCCGGCCAACCAGTAGGCCCAAAAGAAAACATCCCTTTGATCGTGTTTAGAAGATTAAGGAGAGCATGGACGCAATGTTTACGCCTACACCCCTTGATATGCCAATACAAAGCAGACAGCGAGGAAATCTACCAATTTCTATACAACCTGTGAGAAGAGACACCGATCCAAAAGATCAGTCTTCATCGAATGGTATAAGAGCATATTAGGCAGAGGTTCCTAGATCGCTACATCTAGCCCATCTCTGAAGTCCATTTCGTCGATGGCATCAAGCAAGCCACTGACATCAAGAAACGTACCTTCGTGCATAACCAGATTATCTTCTATGAGTATACGGTGGAGAGGTCTTGCGAACAGATCAGCAGGTTCACAGATTGTGACCTTATAAATCTGAATCCGTGGGATCTTCTCTTTGTTTTACTTCACATATCACAAGAAGGACAAGGGGATCAAATACGTTGTGGCCAACTCTGCTATAAGGCGAACGATGACAGACCTTCTTGACTTCAGAAGCAAGTTCGATTTTCCACTAGCTCTGGATCTGGGAGTGGATCAATTGACTGTCGGTGCACCAAACGAAAATCTGCAGGGCATTAATAGCATCCCTTCTTGGACTGTATTGGTGGAACCAGAAGTGGAAGTAGGATTTCGAAATGCATAGAATAAAAAGATCTTTTTTCTAGATATGCATAACTACAAGTATTCAAACTCTATCCTGCGGTACATCAGAGATAATCTAGCCAGGAGCAGAGACAACTCCCCAGGAGCAAAGGAACGGGCGAAAATCATCTTAACATCAATTTGCAACATGTTAGAGTTTCATGAAATTCTTAGGAAGTTCATCAGACTTCAAAATGTTTAGTCCCTATGTTTTGTATGTTTTTTTTTTCTATCTTGTAAATTCAATGTAATTTCCATTCAATTGTATTGTACTTTTTAGATAGTGAATGAAAATCAGAAGTTCCTTTTAGCCTCTGGCTTCAATTAGACTTTCCATTTGTAATTCAAGTAAGATCCTACCTTATTTACACTTCGGGGGACATTGTTAGACTCCAACATCCGTGCTTTATACAGACCTTAACAAAGGTTCTGCATGTGCAATGCGGTCACTCTAACCCTGCCTCCATACATGACACAAAGCTACACAAAGGCTCTTCAATTAAGTGTTGAGAAAGAGCTTTGTCTCTTCATGTCCTACGTTGAGGCTCCGCCTCTTCATCCAAACCTTAACAGAGGTTCTGCACGGCCTACATGGTCACTTAAACACACACTCCATAGCTAATACAGAGATCCACAGAGGCTCTGCATTTAAGTGTTCAGAAAGAGCTCTATCTTTTCATGCCCTATGTGTTGAGGCTCCGACTCTTACTTTGAAGGTGGGTTTCAGAGTTGTAACTGTGTACCGTATCTGTTTTAAACTCTGGGAATTTTCTTCACCCTCGGGTCTGTGAAACTTGATTCCATTCTTCATACAAATTTTAATAAAGGTTCTGCACGTGCAACGCGGTCACTCTAACCCTGCCTCTGTTTTGCATACAAAGTTATGCATAGGCTCTGCATTTAACTGTTCCGAAAGAGCTCTCGCTCTTTATGTCCTACGTTGAGGTTGCGCCTCTCGTTCTGCATGTGCTATGCTGTCAATCTGAACCAAAATCCATGTTTCATGCAGAGCTACATAGAGGCTCTGCATTTAAGTCTTGAGAAAGAACTACTTCTCTGCATGTCAAATGTGAAGGCGGTGTCTCTTACTCTAAAGATAGACTTCAGACTTACAACTCTGGGTAGTTTATGTCTTAATCTTTGGGAAATTTGCTTATGTTTGTGTCCTTGAGGCCTGATTTCGTTCTTCATACAGAGCTTAACAGAGGTTCTACAGGTGCTACATAGTCATTCTGACCCTGCCTACGTCCTTCATACAGAGCTTCATAGAGGATTTGTTCTTGTCTTGAATAAGCGTTCTATCTCTGCATGTACTACCCACAGCCTCTGATTCCCATTGCTTCTCTCATACAGAGGTTTACAAAGGCTCTGCATGTACTACGTAGCGTTGCATACTGTATTTACAGTGTTCGTCTTCATTTAGAAGTTTTTCCTGATCATCCAAGCACAGGCCATCCATTGTATATGTAACATTTAATTCTCGAATATGAGCTCTGTCGATGTACATATTAAGCAGAACATTTCGTACCTCATGCAGAGCTACGCAGACAATCTGCATTTAACTCTGGATATGCTTTTTAGACGTGCCACTCTAAATAACATATGTTATAACTCTGAGGCTGTGCTTCAGCTATGTTATCCTCATTCATAATTTTGCAGACCTATAGGTGTGGACATTCTTTTTCTTTAATTCTGGAAATTTCCATCAGACTTTTCCCAGGCCACTCTGTTTCTATTCATAATTATTTAAAATACAAGTTGTCACTTATAGAGGGTCACCACCTGTATCTCTAATTTTTCAAGTAAAGGAGGCGGGATGGAAAACATGCCAAGCCACGTGTCTTCCCTCCATACGCTATTGCATAACCGTTTCAGCTCTCAACGTTTCGTGCTGATTCTCATTCGATTGCCTATTACAAAATCTCATTTTAAATTACCCTTTATTCCCCAAATTAAATTTTTCATTCTTTCTAACCCTTTATCCATATTTTTCTCATTGTTGTCTTCTACGAACTAAAAACCAATTGCCGCCATTGACGAATTATGACCTCAAGGTTCCCCCTCTTTTACTTCGCTTCAATCGATATTCATTGCAAGTAAGTTGATTAAGTCCAACATCTGCACACAAAACACAAAATCAACCACAAATTTATACATTTTCGTGAAACCCTAACTTTCAGCCAACCGCAAACCAGGGTCATTTTGTTGCTCACAAACCTGCAAATGTCTACATCCGCATCAAAAAATTCCTAAACGCAAACCACTACCCTCAAATCCATTGACGGATCTACTCATACCATTATTCCCCTTCCTCTGAAACCAAATAGTCACGCACTTTGCCTCAACTTGGACAACTTTGACTCCAGTTTTCACCCAATCATTGATATCCTTCAACATCATTTTCTCAATCCTGCCCTCATGAACTTGGATGACGCCATTCCACAACGTTTCATTAAGGAATTTTGGCTATCATGCAACATTACTGAATCGCAGCATGCGGTTGTTGGACGATTCTATGTTTCCTCGACAAAAGAGTACGTTTCAGTGCGTATTTCTAGGTCGTTGTTTTCTCAAGTCTTACAACTACCGATGAAAACGGATCTTGTCCTGGACAAATACCCCCTTTTCCAATCGGGGATGAGCTGGTCGCTTTCTTGAAGATGTTGGGTTACAATCAACAAATCCGGTATCCATCACAGTACCGTCATCAGTTTCTACCACCAATGTGGAACGTCCTGTTCACATTGGTGAATCGGTCTCTCATGGCCAAAATTGGTAGTCTGGACATGTGTTCCACTAATATCATGCAGATTGTGTATGGGATATTCTTTGACCTGCCCCTCAACTACTCTTTGATACTTTACACGGAGTTCAAGGCTGTAGTTGTGAAAAAGTCCCATGAGGTCTCTAAGGGAAGAGTATTGCCACCTCTATTCTTCCCATGATTTTTAGGTCTTCTTCTAAGATCTTTTGTTGAGGAGCACATGATCAACGTCTCAGGCCTTCCTGTGCAGAAGGTTAACGTACTTTCTGCATACAAACCCATTGTACATAAGGATTGCTATTCAGCTGAGAAGCCCATTCTAATGAAACTGATGACCTACATGAAGACACATGAGGTAAGGAGGAGTTATAGACGTGTACGCGAGGCACTAGAAGCAGTGGCTCGAACCCTGACACGCATAGGGACAGCCTAATAGAGTGAAGAGGCAGAAAGGCCAGTAGAGCAAGTGAGAATTGAGAGTGAGAAGGAGCAGAAGAGGAAGAGGGAAAAGGCTAAACAAATGAGGGATAGGGAGGAAAAGAAAATGAGAGAGATGGAAGAAAGAGAGAGGCAGGAGCGAGAGGAGCGAGCAAGAAAGGAGGAGGAAATGAGAAGATTGGAAGATGAAGCTATGCATGAAACAAAACTGTCTTCAAGTTCTGATGTAGAGGAATCCGAGGAAGAGCAAGAGCATAGAGATGCTGGAAGCTCTTCCTCATCCGATAGTGAAGAGAATGATGAGGGAGAAGGTGTAGCAGCTGCTCTACCTCAAGGCGAGCTAGAGCAGCCTAGGGTAAATAGGCACATACGATTCAATACCCCAACTCCCAGTGCAAACACATCATCTGATTTCGGTGATCGAGAGACGAAGGTCATTGAAACAGAGGTGCACACCTCGAACCTTCACCACCCAAAACAACCAAAGGTCGCATCTGCCTCTGGTTAAGAAAGCCAAAGGGAAGCCACACCTCAGGGAACATCCTCTCAAAAGGGTGCAACCTTTGAAAGAATAAGTGACATGTCTCCCCATATCACGCCACTATTCCCCATAGAGGAATTTGTTTCCTTTGCATATAGAGTTTCCCCACCTTGTTCATAGCAAGGATTAGGTGCACAAGACATGGAGGTTCTCGACCAACCTTCTTGTCCACTCATGGAGAGTCCTCTGGTTGGCTCTGAACCTGCATTGGATACTCTTCATCACAGAAAAACAGTGGTGAATTCTCTTCAAAAATAACCACGAGGATCTGCTGGAAATCCTTCCCCAACAAACATTAAACAAGTCGAGCAAAAAGGTGTCCTTGGAACAAGGACTAAATCTAGCCCATGTGTTGAGCCAGAGGTTACACAAATAGCCTACGTCAGAACGGATGAGTTTCAATCCCTTGGTACCTCTTTGTTGTGCTCCTTAGAAGAGCTAAAACTCATCATGGCCCATGCAGAGCCGTCACCTTCTACATCTGCTCTGGATGAGATACGAGCATCCTTGGTAGTATTGAGCGCTGAATCTTCGATGAATGCCTCTCGTCTCGATACCCTACAGGAATTGACGGTGCAAAATGCAAAGGCCCTGCAAAATGTCATAGCATCCATGAAGAAGGATGAAGTTTCTACTTCTCATGACTCCCAGGCGATGATCCCTCTCAACGTAACTATCGATTATGTCACTCAAAACGCAATAAATGCTCTGGGTGACAGACTTCTACAGAAGGTGGCATCTTTTAGTTCTGAGTTCAACAGCAAAGCCACAGAAGTAGCAGAGTCAATAACGAGTTCTCTAGTTGGCTTCAACTACTGCTATGACTTTGAGATTCGACGAGTTGGAGACGCAGTAGAAGATCTACTTAAAATGTATGAGGCGAAACTCATGTCCATGCCTCATGCACAGGAGCAGAGACAAAAAAAAATGGATGCCACTTTGTGTGCAGAGGCGTCCAAAAGAAGAAGACTTGACGATGAAGAGGACCCAGACCTGTTTGATCCTCAAAATCGTCAAGAGGGGGAGAGGCATTCAACAGCTGCTCCAAGTACCCTTCCTAGGGCTGCCACCTCTGCCTCTGTTCTACGCCAACAAGCGCCAGCATCATCAAGGCAGAGATCTCAAGATGCGCAAGCACATGCAGACGCAATAAGGAAAGGGAAGTTGCCCGCGGCACTCTCGTAGAAGCAGAAGGCTAAAAGAAACATGAAGATGATGTGATTCAACTTTTATCTGTACACCTCTTTTCATTCGAACCAGAGAAGCCTTTGTCATCCTCCTCAGAATACTACATGGAGATTGCTGCTTCATCAAGAAGGAGGCGTGATGAAGTAGAAGTGGTGGCAGTGAATGTAGTTGACCCAGAGCTACAATCGGATATTCCAACGGCTGTCCCACTTCAAGAAGTAACTGCCGTTGCCCCACCACTACATCGGAACACACACAGAGCAAAGGTCCCTGTTTAAGGGACCAGGGTGGTCTTCTTTGCTTTGAGGCAGAAGGTCCCAATCAAAGGTCGAAAGCCAGAAGGAGGCAGCAGCCGCAGGGATCAAAATTCAATATATGGTATTGAAAGAGTACAAGATATCAGGGATGACATAGAGGACCTGTTAAAGCCTACTCCCCTCACCGAGCCTATCACACATGCTGCAGACAATGAAGATGTCTATCAATATCTCTATAGCCTGCGGAATGAGACTCCAATTTTAAAGATAAATCTGCATCCAACGGCTGACGAGCATATTAGGCAGAGGTTCTTCGACTGTTTCACTCAACCTCCTTCTGCAGTTCATTCGGTGCATAGAATCGTTAATGTCTTGGACGTCAAATGACGAACCTTTGCGCACAGCCAGATTGTATTTCATGAATACAAGGTTGAAAGGTCCCATGGCAAGATCAAATCTTTTACAAATTGCGATCTCATTAATCTAAATCCATGGGATATTTTGTCTCTGTTCTTCTACACAGAACATAGGAGGGATAAGGGGATGAAGTACTCTGTGGCAAACTCGGCGATTCGGCAAACGATGACGGATCTCTTGGACTTTAATAGCAAATTTGACTTCCAATTGGCTCTGGACATGGGGATTGATCATCTTAATGTCACTGCATTCGAATGAAGAACTAGCAGGCATTAATCATTACCTATTGTGGACGGTAATGGTGGAACCAGAGTTTGGGGTGATCTACAAGAATGCACAAGGAAGAATGGTGTTCTTCCGTGAAGAGCAGAGCCTAAAGTATTCAGATTCTACGCTGCGCTTCATCAAGGATAATTTACTCAGAAGCAGCGACAATACCACGGGTGGCAAGAAGAGGTCTCGCAATCTGGTTAAATGCATCGATGGTGTGGTGGAGTTTCATGAACTTCTTAGGAGGTTCATGACGCTCCAACATGTGTAAAAAGCTTTATCTTTGTAAATTATGTTTATTTTTAGTTTTCTTTTTCAATTGTAAGTCCTGTAGTTTCCTTTCATTGTACTGTAAAAGTATTATATAATAAATGTAATACATATGTTCTCTTTCACCTTTGCCTTCGATTACCATTGTGTATTCATTCCAGTTACAATTTGTCTTCTTTTCCAGGAGAGTGAAAATTTTCAATTATGGAACTTTTATTTTGTGCAGAGGTTCTGATGATTTAAATCTCTCAAATTAAGATGTTTAATATATTTATGTAAGCAGAGGAATATGAAGAAAAAAAAACATAAATTAAGCTGAGAAACAATTGAGTTCTTACAGGTTTAGAAATCTGAACTTCGAACTCTTATTCAAACTATCGCAGAAGTAGTCTTGGTTGCTTACTGTCACACTTCTAAGTCTAGAACTGTCGACATCAAGGACATCTGGAAATACATTTCACAGAGTACCATTTATGAAAAACTGCGAGCTTCGAAGTCTGGAGAGTCATTCTTCATAGTTTATTTCACTAACTCTGAAACATGTTTCACATTGGAACCTTATTCCCAAATGTAGAAAAGAATACACCAGTTCGTCGGAACGAACTAGGAAATTTGTAAGGAACCGCCAAACCTCCATGTCTGAAATTAAGGATCTGTACTTGCATGCTGAAGTCATCCTTTATATTTCATGTCTAGACTTCCTTGAAGTCTAAAAGTAAAAATCCATACTTTAATACTAAAGTCATTCTCCAAATTTCATTTCCAAACTACCTTCAAAACTGTAAGTCGGGTAGGTCATTCTCAAGCAGCGTCTTACTTTTCACAAACATCCATATTCGTTATGTAATTCTATCAGATGATTTAAATTTCTCAAATTAAGATGTGTAGTACATTTATGTACAGAGAGGATATGATTAAAAAAACATAAAACAAGGTAAGAATAGAGCCTATTAGTAATAAATGTACCAAACTGTTATTAAAAAGTGAACAATGCAGACCAAACTGTTTACCCCTTAATAAATTAATGAATGAATTGCTGTTACTAAAATTGAAACTATTTACATAATTTATGAATTCTAAGCTAAGTTTCTAAAATAAAATTTGTGCTTTACAAAACTAAATCTATCACTGTTTTATTCTTTGTAGGTGTGTATTGAATCTTCCTCTTCTCTTCAGAGTTTGAACTTCCTGTCAATAAGGATTGGAATGAACTTCTCAATTATTGTTTTTCTGTACTCAAGCTGAGAGTCAATATGCATTATCATCCAATTTATGAGTTCTTTTAATTTTGGCCATTCTTCTCGTGGAGTTATTTTAAGCTTCCTCAACAGTTTCTTTTCTAATGATATGTAAATCTATTTCAAGGTACCAAAGCTGTACTTGGCTATATCATATATCCTGAATAAGAACTTCTCATTCAGATTCTTGCATATGTATCCCGGAGAATCACACACTACAGTTCCTGTATGAAAGTTTGCCAATTCTCCAAGATTGATCTCCGGATGCATCAAATATACCCTATCTCTGTTCAGAGTTATGGCCAACTGAAAGTCAGTCATGCCACCCATTAAGGGAGCTCTAAGCATGCCATGAACAACAACAATCAAACCTGTTTTGAACTTGACACATTTATCTTCGAATGGAGCTAATTTGTAATACAATTGGAGCAGATCATTGTGATTGATGAATATGAAATCAGCCTCCGAGAACTCATACACCCTATTATATGTTCTCTCAACACTAAAAACTTGGTATACTATACCCTGCCATGTTTTCTGTTTGATGTCCACCATCCTCATAATACTCGGCTTTGAGTACACATCTCTGTGCAACTTGCCTATTCTGTGTATAAATTGTTCATATTTTCTCTTGAATGCAGGTGGCTTCCTTGTAAATGTATCCACGTAATTCTTGATGACGTAATTGGATTCAAACATGAAAAAATTCCAGTGCTTGAATTCAAGTAACCATTCATCCAAATCTACCTTTTCTTTTTCTTTCTCTTTCTTTACCACTGCAGTTGGAACCGGTTTCAAGGTTCGAGAAATGAAGTATTCCCGTGGAAGCACCACATCTTTACCTAATGCTTTCTTTAATTTTTTCTCCATTATCGCCACCTTTTGACACTCTTTACACAGTTCCCTAAGCTTTATCCTCTCCTTTATTTCATCCAGAAACTTTTCTTTCACATCTTCCTGTACATTAAGTGAACTCTCCATGGCTTTTAGAAAATGTGTCAACGCTTTGCTTGTAAACATAAGAAGTTTTGTAACTTTCAACACCCTTAGAGCCGAAGAACTTCTAAAGTAGTACTGTGGTTCATCAAGGAATACAAATTGATTCATAAGCGCCACGTTCTCATAGCTTTCATCCAAATCATAATCATTAATCCTTGTCAGGTCTAGATCTAATGCCACTTGCATATCATATAAACCTAAGTTTCTGATGTAAATCCCAAATGACCTTCTTATTTCCACTTCAGCCCAGGAATGCTCTGTTTGTTCGAAATACTTCAGGAGGAAAAATTGATCTTCTACCTTCAACCTTGGAAAATCAGCACTAGAGATCTGATATACTCGATTGTCTGCTCTCATTATTTCTAAATCCAAGTAATCCACAACAACAAAGGATCTTACATGGAAGTTATGGACTTCAACAATTAGGTTGTTTATATTTGTCTCTAATCGTTTCTCCTTAGTGTGCTTATCATTTCAGAGTACATCATATGCACTTCTCCAGGCCAGTTCCCATCAATTTCATGTTCCAGCATGACTTCTTCCTTATCATCTATTATGAACATCTGATTGTCAGACTTAAAAGAGCTGAAAGAGCCATCAGGGTTATGAATAACCATCTCCGAATCATCCTTAGCAATTGACTCTGCTGGTTCGGCTGTTGTTTCTTGGTTTTCCTTCAGAGGTTGATTGGTTGAGGGAGTAAATATTTTTTCATGAATTAATTGAATAAATGAATCAAAAGGTGTGAAAGGAATGATTGCAACACATGAGTTTTGAAAAATATGCTCATGTCTTGGTTCTACCTCATCATCTGGATTTTTAAAGTCCCCATCTGAAATAGGAATGGCGACGGTGTCAATTTCCTCCGTTTCCATCTTCTCCATCTCATTACAGTCTGCTTCAGTATTATCCACATCCATTCTGTTTTCATCACTATCTCCCTCTTCAATGTTCTCTTCAATTGCTATATCTGCATTAGATGCTATTCCCAGTGCTGTTGCCTCTTCTTGCCTTATTCTCTTACACCTATTTTATTATTATAGCCAGCTTCATCATCAAGTCATCATCTTCATCATGCTTCCTTTTAGATGACTGAGTTTCTTTCCTGTAACCCATTTGTTGAATACCTCTACGTATCAACACTGTCATGTATCTTAAATCCCCCATATCCGCCTTCATGTCATTCATTTGAGCAGTTGTGGCAAAATCTTCGTATGAGGCACGTAGGCTTTGGGAATGGCAGGAATGGGATTTCCTTCTGAAGCGGATGGATCAGTTGGTGGTTGGATTGGATTTTTGGTTCTGGCTTGTCAATTGGTGTCATCCATTTGAGACTGCCTGAGTGTATTTACTTGACTAAGAATGGCAGCTTGGTTCTTAGCTTGTATCTCAATCATCTTTTGAGACAAAATGCCAAAGTTTTTGAGGATACAGCTCTGAAACACCTTGAAGTTTTCTTTCGTCACAAAGTTTGATTCCAAGTTGTAGAGAGTTGTTTGGCTGGTTTTCGCGATATTTTTCACACCCTCCAATTCATTTTTCGTTA